AATATATTAATAATAAAGATATTGATTCAGAAGATTTAGAAGATATCTTTGACGGAAAAATCTATAAAGAATTATTGAAGATTAATCTATTTAATGATAAAAGTGATATTGCATTCACTGTTTCTTGTGATGGATTTCAATTATTTAAACAAAAAAACAGATGATTGTTAGGCATTTCTTTTAATCAACAATAATCTTGATCCTTTGATGCGAATTAAAAAAGAAAATTTGATAATTCCTTTTTAATTTCTGGACCAACTTCACCTAAAGATTTCAATTCATTTTTAAGGCCTTTTGCAAATGAAATGAAAGAATTCAACTTAATAATTTTATTTATTTATTATTTAAATAATCTAATATTTTAAATTTAAAAAATTAATTTTAATAAGAACGAAGTTACAATAATTACTTTGAACCAATTATATTTAGGTTTAGGAATAATAAAAGGTGCTGCGTTCGGTCAGTTCTACTTGGTGTACCGCATCTAAATATTACCATTAAACAATACGCAAAGGATGCATGAAAAAATCTTGAAATGCATGTGACATCCTTTGCTCCTCAAATAATATCAAATTATTTACCGAATTATAGAAAATTTTTTTATTCGATAATAATTCTGTAATTGCAGTTTGGTTCTAAATTCTAAATATTATCTACCCAGACATAAAATTTTCTTAATAGGGAAATAATAAACATAAAATCAGCCAACAATTTGTTTTATCTGTTGTAACAAATTTTATATTCTAAAATAGGTTGTCACTATATCATAAAAATATCTATTCAACTTCCATATGAAGAACGTTGTCATTGAACTTACAAAGAATCTATTGATCAAACAAACCCTCGTTTTTTTTTTCAATTGAATACCTACTTTTGGCATACAGTCAAACCTTGATATAGCGAACTCTTGATATAGCGAATTTTTAAATCAAATATATTAAAATTACCTTATTATAGTGAACTAGCCAATTAAATTCTTTAAAAAATTCGTTATAAGCTTATAACGAAGTTGATATCCAGATCCTAGAATTCGTTATATCAAGAGTTCACTGTATTATTTGTGAAAAATTTACGGATTTTTATTTTTATTTTTTGATAAAAAAAAGCAAAAATTAAGTTCCGCCGAATAAAAGGATTCTTTGTGCAAAAATATAAATCAGTGTTACATTTAATTAACCAGATTAATTATTTTTATGACAAATAGAAAATTTTTCATTATAAAAGAACCTTTGAAAACCCTTTCATCGGTTTATAACAAAAGAAATTTCATCGTAAAAAAAAACAATAAAATAACAACCCTTTCAATTTCACAAAAATTTCAAATTGCGCGTTGATCAAATATAATGACGCATAAATTCAATAATAAACCTTCAGACAAGGTCAAATATAAAAATATAATTATAAGTATTATTGACTTTTGTCATCCGATAAACTTCTGGATGAGAGCAAGAATATCCAGCAAGTGGAGTAAAATTCTCCATAAAGAAAGAGTTTATCTGGGACGGCCGGACAAGAGGAATACACAGCCGGTCAAGAAGATTATCCTGGATTCAGCGGGGCAAGTATCCGGACACTGTTGGCCAAGAGGAATATCCGGATACTGCTGGACAAGAGGAATATCCGGCCCGGCCAGCGGTTGAAGATTCGGCCAATTGCTGGACTAGATAGATACCTTTCAGCAAATGACGATTTCGAAAATATTTAACTCCCTGTTTCAAATAATTCCTTATTAACAACACTCCCTTAAATTAAGTGACGCGTTATTTAGAATAGTTTTCCTTTTTTTTTGTAAAAATTTTATTTATATTTTATTTATTTAATTTGATTTAAATTATTTTTAAGATTTTTCGTTAATGAAAATACAAATTATGAACTATATTATTATTACAATAATTCGAAAAAATTCACATCTTCGTGTATTTTGATTGAAATTTTTGGTGATTATATTTTTTTTTTTTTTAACTTTTTAATGTATAGTCGAAGCCTAAAAGATTTGCACACGGAAACTTTAAATTTTTTTTCCTTCATTTTATAATTATCCATGGTTGAATATTTCAAATATTTTGTAAAAAAAATATTCTAATCAAAATTTTATCGGAGAACTAGAAGCACAATTAAAACTCTGGAATTATTGTTTCGGTGAGGATTGGTCGTTGTAAAATCTGATATAGCGTAAAATTTTTTTTATTAAGTATCAATATTTTTAATTGTTTAAAGTTTTACAAGACTTACGAAAGTCCGTAATAGATAAAACACATACTCTCTTGATAAAGCAACGCTGTATGCTCCTTCATCTTCAACAAACACGATGCCTGGATTTAAATTGATTATAAGTTAACTGATTTATAGTAAATCAGTAAATGTTGCAATGGAAAGGATCTAAATTAAATGAACTCCTGTACCCTCAACTCCAAAAGACCAAATATTTCCCAATCCACAACGATGTGGACGCGCTTTATGCTGACAGTTCTGCAACTTTTCGTTAATATTGACCTTGAAAAATAAATTTGTTAGATAATTAGAATAAGGAATTTGACATCAGACCATTTCTTATGGATGTATTCATACTTACTTCAACGTGGATGTCATTAATGGCTATTATAACATCTCTACTTCATCGCAATAAAACCTAACTCAATAATAAGAAGTCACTTTGATGACAAGAACTTTGGTAAAAACAAAGCGTTTTCTAGGCTTAACGCTTCTTGAAGACGAAAGTAAGCCAGCCGCTAAATGAAGGATTATATAGTTATAATACCTGTGTTCCAATTACAATTATCTTAATTGGTTAAAAAAGTAGATTCGAAAATTAAATTAATACCTTATGGTATTCTTTTATGAAGTTCTCTTTTCTTTCAGCTGCTGCTCTTAAACTGTCCAGCGGAATTTGAAGTGAATATTTTTTTTTTTTTTGTTTTAAAGCATACATAATACTTAATTTTAATTGGTGCGAAATTGATCGTCATTCAATTTACCAAAATAAGGGGTTGTCTAATTTACTACAAAAAAATTTCTATTTTTGGCCAGAATTATATAACTTGGCCGAAATTAAATATGTAACAAATAATTAGGGATATTATCTGATTAGTTTGGTTAGTTTAGATTTAAAAACTTTGGTTTGAATTAAACTATAGTTTATTATATACAGTTTAATTTATGATATAATTTTATACATTATTTTTATATAATGTAAATATATTTTTATAAGTTATGATACAAACAATTTTTGTTAAAAAAAATATATATTATATAATTTGGCTAAAACAAATTGTTTAAATTTTTATAATCTTATATTATTAAATTTTTTAATAAATATTATTATTTTAAAATCCATATATTTATAAACCATTTTTACTGATTTTTCAACTATTCAACTTTTTAAATATAATAATAATTATGTAATATTAGGATCTAATCAGTTACATAACTTAGAAATAATAAGCCTTGTAATAAAAAATATTTGTTTACATGATACACTAGTTGTCTGTATAATAAAATAATCACATGTTATATTTGGACATAATCATTATCTGTAAGTAAAGTAAGATATCATTATAATTTATTATTATTTGCAATAATTTTAAATATATACAAGCATTAAATTCAATTAAATATTATATATACAGAGAATAATCCAGCTAAATTTGTTGTTATTGTTGTAGTTTTATAATAACTCATTTTATTATATGAAAGGCAGTTAGTAAAAAAGGAGGAAATCCAAAATTTTTGTTAATTTTAATTATTAAACTAATTTTGTGCATAAGACCGATATTAGTCAAGTGGTCTAATAATATAAATTTTGACCAAAATTTGGATTTCTCCTTTTTCTACTGATCGCCTCCAATATACTAAAGAATACAGGTCAAATATTGATCAATCAGACACCTTTCTGATTAGTCACTATTTTTTTTATCAATAATCAATAAATAGAAATCAGTAGCTACTACAATCAGATATGAATCAATCTAATTTATAATTATTAAATAGAATTATATAAATTAGAATCCAATCTGATTTTATATTTATTTTAATAAACTTGAAATTATATATTCAATAATAACAAATCAGATTCCATTAATAATTAGTTATTAATCAGTTTAATACCTATTTGATGATTATTATTTAATTAGAATTTACCGATTAACTTCTATATTAATAAATTTATCGATTGTTTTCAAGTTATAAAATTATTCAACTTTACTGATTGTTTTAAATTTTACTGATTATTTCAAATTTATTTATAATTAAATTATTATTATAGATGAAATTATTTATTAATAGATATGACACTAGTTGAAATCATTTCTTTTAGTACTAATATTATTCAGTTAATATTCAGCTGATTCAATTATGTGATTCAGTAAAAATTCAGTTTAAGTTACAAAAATTGATAGTTATTTGTTACATCGCATATAATTTAGCATTATTTCAGCATTAGATATTTCGTCAAACATTCAGCCGATTCAATCATGTGATTCAGAAAAAATTCAGCTTAAGTTACAAAATTCAATAGTAATTTGTTGTTACATTACACATAATTTAGCATTATTTCAGTATTAAGACCTTTCGGTTATAATATTCAGCAAAATTTCAGTTAGACTCAAGATTGGCAACAAATCAACTATATCTTACTGGTCAAAATCTGTTGAGCTGATTTTGCAAAATTATAAAAACATTCTGAGAGTAATCGTCTTAAAGAGATGATAGAAATCATCTCAAAAGGAATGATACAATCGTCCAAAAGAGACAATAGAAATCATTTCAAAAGAAACAAACAATCATTTTCAAAGAGATAATAGAAATCATTCCTAAAGAAATAAACAATCATTTCTAAAGAGATGATAGAAATTATTATTATTCTGAAAAAATAATGTTTTTCATCATTTTTTAGCAACGATATTTCATTATTACGAGAATAATGTTTTTTTTATCATTCTTTCAGAATAATTTATCATTGTTCTAAAAGAATGATATTTTTTTTATTGTTCTTTCAGAACAATTCATTATCATTCTGAGAGAATAATGATTTTTTTATTATTCTTTTAGAATGATTCATCATCATTTGAAAGAATGATAATTTTTTTATCATTCTATTAGAATGATCAAATAATCGTTCCTTTAGAACAATTTTGTCATTGTTTGTAAAAAATGATCAAACTATTATTGATTTTGCAATTGAATGATGCAAAATCATCTGTTTAGAATATTTATGATAAATAGTATAAATAATATCTAAATTTCGGATTAATTAAAATTTTAGTTTAGTTTACAATATAAAACTGATAAATTTTCTATTCTGAAAAATTTATTTTCCTTTTTTTTTCCTAGTGAAGTAATTTTTGGGCAGAAATTTAATCTTTTCCTTTCTTTTTTTCTTGTTTTTTAGGAAATTCTTATTTTGGAATTAAAGTAAGCGAATAGGAAGTGACTTGTGACATTTTCCTTTCTTTTTTCTTGTTTTTTTAGGAAATTCTTATTTTGAAAATTAAGGTAAGCAAATCAGAAGTAACTTTTAGATAGTTTTAGCTCTTTTCTTTGTTTTTCTTTGATTTTTTTAGAAAAAATCTCTTTTCAAAGCTAAGGTAAGCCTTTCAAAAGGTACTTTTGGATGGTTTTAACCTTTTTTTCTTATTTTTTCTTTACTTTCTTTAGGAATATACAGTCGTCACTGGTTATAACAAACCTGTTTATACTGAAAACTAGTTATATTGAACTATGTGACGCAGAACCGATTTTTATAATTAATGACACTAGATATACCGAAATTACATAGTAAAATTCCATATACCACATCCAAGCTATGTTGGCTAAACCAAATATATTAGCCACATATTTGATATACTGAACCGATCACGTGACTTAAAGTTATTTATAGGATTATCGTAATATGAATAATCTTTTTTTCATCAGAACACAGAAAATTTTTGTTTAAAGATCTCCGATATTATGTCAAGAAAAAGGGTTGTTCTTTCAGCTGCACAAAAACGTGAAATATGTAAAATTAAAGAAAAAAATCCAAGTCTTCTTAATATTGAACTTGCACAACAATTTTGTATTGGAAAGTCAACAGTTACTGATATTTTGAACGAAAAAGAGCATTAGCTTGCAATTTCAGAAAGGCAAGGAAATGTTAAAAAATTTCATAGTCCAAAGTGGCCTCAACTTGAGAAAGCACTTAGTATTTGAATTGATAATGCACTTAATACAAAACAAGACATTGATGGTAATATTTTAAAAACTAAAGCAAATTATTTTGCTAGACAGTTTT